AAAACAAGGAATTCATTCACTGCTTCCCATGGGCAGGCAGGTGTTCAGCCATCTCCAGGAAAGCAGGGCTCCATCACACCTAACGGTTACTTGGGAAGGCAAACACCATAACTCTGAACGTTCCCCCCTTCCTCCTTCTTCCCCCAGCTTTATATGCTGAGGATGACGTCATATGGTATGGAATATCCCTTTGGTCAGTTTGGGTCAAGCTGTCCCAGCCGTGCCCCCTCCCAGCTTCTTGTGCACCCCCAGCCTGCTCACTGGTGGGGTGGGGTGAGAAGCAGAAGAGGCCTTGACTCTGTGTAAGCACTGCTCAGCAGTAACGAAAACATCCCTGTGTTATCAACGCTGTTTCCAGCACAAATCCAAAACACAGCCCCATGCTAACTACTATGAAGAATTAACTCTACCCCAGTCAAAACCAGCATGCTAATATAAATCAGTCAATAACAACAGATGGACTGTATACTTTATTATGTAAAAATGAAGATGAATGTGACATACTGCAGAAGTAAACTTGCAACTCGAAGTTACTGAGCACAGAAGGGTTTTGTTATAACGGGGGAGAACAATGCGTGCCTCGTATTTGCATTTGATCAAGCTTGTAAGGGGAACTTGCTGCACATGGCATTGACATAATGATTGGAAATGAAGTATGTGAATTTTCAGTGTTTGTTTGTATCTACACTCCCACATCACTCCCAAATGGTTTAATTAGCTTTTTTCCTCCAGACAGAAGAAAAAATATCTAATTCTTTAGGAGAGTTAAATAAGAGAGATATGAAGTTTGCTGCTTTGTTGTGCCATGGGAAGATGAAGATTTTAAATAACCAGTGATAACCATCAGGAAGATTCAGATCAAAGTCTCAGGCAAGATTTATCCCCTTGGACAGATACGGAGCACGCAACGAGAGGCGACCCCCATCCAAATTGTAGGCCCGGCAGGCCATATGGGTATAACAGAGTCATCCCTGAAAAACTTAAGTCAGAGTTTAATCTTTGTATGGACAGAGCAATGACCTGTGTTCAACCAGAGCCGGTCAGGAGAAACTTTGATGGAAGTGTTTATTAGGTTGTTAGAAACTGTGGCCTTGTGAAAACACAGATTCATGAGTTTGCTTCCGTTTTACCAAAAGTTCGATTTGTAGGGAGTTGCAAAAAATCTCAACACAGTCAAATGTCCCATATTGACATTTTCAGAGGTAAATATTTGTGTTGGATTTTTAAGAATATTTTGTTATATAATTACACTGCCGTTATAATTATGCTCGCATGTTGCTGCAAGCATTACATTGAAAGCATAACAGCGTATCAGTCTAATTAAAAAAAAATGAAATGCAAGACTTGGATCCAAGATGTGTGTTAAGGTTGATGGTTCAAAACCCTGTCCCAAATCAGCAGCCGAATCGGCCAACTGTCCTAAGCCGTGCCGCAGCTGTGCCTGTTGTGATGGGCAAGCCATCACAAGGGGTTTTAGGGTTCTTCCTCCTCAAAGCGTCCTCATCCCGAGAGGTGAGTACCGCAGCCCAGCACAGGGGAACCATGGCTGCGCACCCTGTCTACCTTTAAACCACCATCCTGCAACATCAGCTGGTGGCGGCTGGCGTGCCTGGGCGGGAGGGGAGGGGAGGGGTGGTCCCCCCCCCGCCCGCAGCCGATCCCATCTCTTTGGGGAATGCAGGGAACACCAAGTGACTTTGGCTGCGCTTTGCACAGGCTGATAAAGGCCTGGTACCCCTGTCAGCGGTGAATAGCAGGAGCGAGGGGCCAGCAGCCGATCCCATCTCTTTGGGGAATGCAGGGAACACCAAGTGACTTTGGCTGCGCTTTGCACAGGCTGATAAAGCCGCCTGTTACCTGTCAGCGGTGAATAGCAGGAGCGAGGGGCCCTGAATGCTAATGGAGGTAAGACTAGCTTTGCAGTGTGACTGGGTTTTTTTCTGCCAAACACAGAAAAACCCAGTCATGGTCGTATTCTGGATGCCCCTCTTAAGAATCTGCTCTATAAAAAAAATAGCTCCAAAGTTGCTACTAATAGCAACGGTACGAGGGCAGGGATTGAATGAACATACTCCAGTTTAAAAAACAAAAAAATATCTCTTAGCTGCTATCTTAAATTTATTCTAAAAGTGCAGATTTTAAATGCCAGTTTCCAGGGACAAGGCAGCCTCTGTGCACTCTGTGTGACAGTTTGTGAATGGTTTCCATCTATATCCCTAACATTTAAGATGTTCAGATGCCTCTCAAAAACAATGAGAAAGAGTGTGGAAAAATAAAGCTGAGCTTTATTATTGCTTAAGAAGAGTAAGGTGGAATTATAGCAAGAAGCCAGTAAGAAAACTGGCTTGTACCTGACTGCAGGATGCCAGGCTGGTGTAGAGAAACAGCTATCGCCACAATCAAAACGTGAGACTAGGTTGTCGTGTACTGGGCAGTACTGTGAATCCACTTTAACATAAAAATATTTAAACTATAGAAGCAGTTACCTTCAGGAGGGAAGGCCCAAGCCCACACACATTCTCCAGGCTGATTAAAGAAATAATTTTTAAAACCACCTTTCTTCTTTTCTGCAGCTTGCTGATCCCTCCTTTTAGACTTTCTAGTTACATCTTTGATAAGATGCAGTTAATTGGTCAGGCAGCGTAAGTACTGTCTTTGATAATGTGCAGAAACCTAGTGGTGAAAATAAATACATTTGTTCTTCCAGTCACCAGAAATTAGTGAAGCAATACTTGTTTAATTATAAAACATATGTGTGCTTTGTTAGTTTCCATCTGTCTGCTCGCTGATTTGCAATTAAATGACCAGAAGAAAAAGATACGTCCTGTGGCAATTCAGGGGAAATGATTCATCTCTAATGTTCCTGTGTTGTGGATGTCTATGGAGCAGCGTGTGCGAGAGGGAGAGGGAGGGAGTGGGGAAGAGGGGGAGGTATGGATAGAAGGGGATGAGGAATGCTGAAAAACCTCTTGCTTTGCTTCAAACATGTTTTATTGTCATGAAACCAAATGTGGACTCCCATTAACTTATTGTAACTCGTCTTTGTCTTTGGAAAAAATGGGAGCAAAATGGAGCAAGGAAGGAATACCTAACGGGGAGAGAAAATAGGATTGCAGTAAAAGGAGGCTGGTGTGGTCAGAGTGAAAAGGAAACCGCAGAAAAAAAGGAAGGATGGAAAAGTGATAAAAATTAAATTTAATTTGAGTATTCAGAGATGATTAGTTGATGGAGATGGAAATGGAATTGTTATAGTATGTCACAGATTTTCCCTTTGCTAGGAAAATACCAGGCCTTATTTAGTGACACTTTCTTCTATCATTGCACCAGTTCACTTCTATTAACTCTCAGGGGGTGATGCGGTAGTGAGTCAGGGCTGTTGCTCTTTGTAAAATGAGACACCCAAAAGGGCAGGAGTGTTTTTAAATTAATATGAAGGGGAAAAAAAAAACCAACAACAACACAAATTGGTGAACATATGTTCTCCTCATAAACAGTTCAAGAGGTTCACAAAATCTTTTGCTGTGTAAGGTATTCCCATCACTGATAAAGACATACAGTCTACCTCCATATAGCTACATGGATGGGTACCATATTACCTTCTCCCCCTGTCTCCTTCAACTGTTCCTGTTTTTTCTTGTCTTTCTGCAAAAGCAGTAGCTGGAAGGAGAGCCTTTCATGTTCCTTGTAACTCTGGACACAGCCTGCACAGGCATGTCTCAGGTGCGGAGAGGTAGCCATCTGACATTTCATCTTCATGAAGACTGGCAGGGAGAAGATAGCCAGCCTTCCGCAGTATTTTTAGTTTGATGTTCTGTGGTGTTTTATTGATCATCAGCAGCGTCCGTCACTGTGTATGATGATAACTGCTTCAGAGGCAGAAAGGGGGAGATTGAATAAGGCCTTCAGGACTGTCAGCTTGCTGCTGGTGGATCTCTCAGTAGTTGGTGCCCCCCCACCCCTTTGCTGCTGGGAGCCTCTTGGATGTTCTTGTGCACTGACGGCAGGTGGGGAGGTGGATGGGAAGAGGGTTATTCTCTGCTGAATTGGTGCTTTCTGATGTGGAAGACTTCCTCTGCAGAAAGGGGCAGAGGGATTGTAAAGGGGGATTTGTGAAGAGGGAGGGAGAGAGAAAGGAAAGTATGTGTGTTAGGTGTTTTCAGTGTTGCCTCCTGTGCGTTGGATTCTTTTCCTCCTTCTCTAGACTTCTCATATTGACTTTATTCATTACCAGCAGCACCAGAGAGGTGCAGAGGTTCCTTGCGTCAGTAGCATGCGTCCGTGTTGGCCCAAAATGTCACCATCTCACAGCTTCTCTGCCCTATGTCCCAGCTCTCGATTCCTCTCCATAGTGAGGACTGCACAGACCAGTGTACTACAAACAAAGTAAAGAAAGCATAGCTGGGCACCTTCATTAGCAGTCTTAGGAAGAGAGTCAGAGTATGAACAAAGAAGCGCAGACTGGACTTGCATTTAGTCTTTTGCCCTTAGAGCAGATTTCAAATTGCTCATCTGAAACGAAAGGCGCTATTTCCTATTTGTACCAGCCTCAGCCAATACTAGCTATGTGCATGCACTTGATTAAACAGTGCGATTAGTCACTATTGAAAAGTGTGACCTTGAAGCTTCCAAAAGTTTCTATTATTTCTTTTTACGGTTTTGCAGGCAACTCTCCCAAGCGCTAACATAATGCTTTATTGCTAGTATTGCCGGTGATGATAACAAAGGACCATTCCCAGACACGTGAATGTGCACATCCCTGTCACATCACGTAGAAGAAAGAGAGCTCAGGATGTAAAGAACAATTTCTTCTAGTCTGAAAACAGCAGTGCATTTAAGCCTCGGTCTAGGAATGCTCCTAAGATAACATTTTATTTGAAAAGTATGCTCTTGAAATTTTCAGAAAGTGCTTGTGTGTGTTTGCCAGCTGAATTTTGGTTGTTTCATTTGTCCTTTTTGTCTCTTCTCCACAGATGATGACTTTTTTCATGAACTTCCAGAAACTTTTCCATCTGATCCTCCAGAGCCATTGCCCCACTTCCTCATCGAACCTGAAGAGGCTTACATTGTGAAGAACAAGCCCGTGAATCTGTACTGCAAAGCGAGCCCAGCCACGCAGATCTATTTTAAGTGCAACAGCGAATGGGTTCATCAGAAGGACCATGTGGTGGATGAGAGAGTAGATGAAACCTCTGGTGAGTTTGTGTTATGTCATGGAGGGATGAGAATGAAAAAGCTTTAATATCAAGCCCACCGTTGTAATCTAGCAGCTATTTCATATGGCAGCTGCTTTTCTTTACTCTCGATACAGCTGTGAATTCGGTATCTGGCATTACTGAACATTAGCTGTCAGAGCACAGAGGTGGTGTCTGCATCCAGGTCAGTTAGTAAAACATGATTGTAGAGCACCCTGCCCGAATTTGAAACAAAAAAAATGGGGGAACCGTGCACAAACAAAGTGGAATTGCTTTCTCAGCCAGGTCTACTCCCTGTTCACTTCCCCAGTGTCACAAATTCCCAGTGGTTGCACTGTATCGTAGTCACAGACCAAGAACCACATTCTCCTCAAAGTGCTGAAGAGCAACTGGGTTGGTCCTAGAATGATGTTTTCTTGGGGAGATTCGAGAAAAAAAGGAGAAATTTAATCAGCTTCCAGCAAGAAAGAAGGAGAAAGCACACCTGGGCACAGTTTAGAGTAGTGTATTGATCCAGAGCAAGTACCTGGCTGTTATTCCATTACACTTTTTTGCCTGCTCCATAGAGCCTGTGTGAAGCAGAACTAGAGTAGGTTAGCAAGGAAAAGAAAACAAAAAGAAGCCAAGAGCCTCATCCTTCCTCAGTCAATACCAGAAATCCCACTGACGTTCACGGAAGAAAAACAGGACCCTTGTAGTACCAAAAAAAAAAAAAAAGGTTTAAAAACTTCAGTAATAAACCAGCGTAAATCAAAGATATGATTGTTCCCATTTGGGAAGACTGGTAATCAATAGAGTTTGAGTCACACGCAAGGAGAGAAGCGGGACTTACTGCTGTTTTGATGGCTCTGAGAAATAACTGGATACCAAGCAAGAAGGTACCTTTCATTTGGGAATTACACCACTACTTGGTCTAATTACTTAGAAAAATAACTCCACCAGATGTCTTGAAAGTCTCTTGTGAACTGGGTTTTATTTGTTTCAGCTCATTTATTTGCACAGAGATCAAAAGCATAAGCTTTTAATGGTACTGTGGTGCTCTCAGCTTGAAAAAGGGAAGGTGGGTGTAGGAAGAAAGGCTATAGAAAAAATCTGTATTAAACTTTGGGCCTGTTTGTTTGTTTGTAAGAATTGGCTTTTCCAACAAGTTGACTGCAGCAGAAAAAATAATAAAAGATATTCTTGTTACTTAATACATCTTCAATTTTTTTCATCCGTGGGGGTCCACTGGAATGAAGAAGGACAAGCAGGAGGGCAGCTATCACTGTGTTAATTTTTTAAGCTTTTATTAACACCAGCATTCAGAAACATGAAAATGTTTTGCTACAGGTGAAATTTTTCACTACAGGTGAAAAATTCATTCTATTTTCTCAAAAATCTCATTGTAGAAAAACTTCATGATGCCGTAAAGCAAACTGGATTCTACAAATGTAGAAGGCCAGTCTTGAAAACAGATGCATCTGAATATATTAGAGGACAAATGTTTTGCATAACAAACAGCAGCAATTATATGCAAACGAAACCCATATACAATTAGAGATTAACATAATCTACTGCAGTTTGGGGGGGAGGAGAGTGTCAAAAGCTGTGCACATCAGATTATTAGCACAAGAGCCACAAACCCAGTCACACTAATAGCTTGTTAAAATGAAACTGTCATCAGAACCTAAATTTGTCAGTCAACCTGGTTGTTGCCAAAAGGTTGCTTAATGCATGTCACGGTTGCAGTGTTTGTGCACCTTCCTGTAAGTAGACTGAGAATCTAGGGCTCATAGCACATAGTATAGAAATGGGTAAACAATGTATTTAAGGTAGTGGTAAAATAATATCTTCTTCAAAGCAATGGAAGCTCGGGAAAATATATCCACTGCAGATGGAGCTGGAGAAAAAGTTGCAGAAGACAGTGACTGTGAGGATTCATTCTGGTGCCCAAAGAAGGAGGTATTGGCTTGGCAGCTTGCACCAGTCAGGCTGGCAAAGCCCTTTGACTCTACTCCTTTTGAGGCTATTTTGGTTTCTTTTGCTGTTTTTGGCTAGCTGGTGCAGTAGGTGTAACCTAGGGCACAGCAGTAGTGACTAAGCTGCTCAGAGGGTGGCGTAAGGATGGCAGCCCAAGCCTATGCTGCTGCTGGCTTCAGGCTTGCAATTAGAGAGGCTGGAGAAATTGCCCACAAACGAGGTTAGATGTAGCCTTTACACGGCTAACCCGGGGCTCAAAGGGATCTCGGTTACATAGTGTTTCTGCTGGATCAGTCATGTAATCCCAGCAACTGAAAACTGGGTTCATTTTTCTTTCCTGATATTTTACCATTCTTAAGGTCTGTTTTGCCTAAATACGAAGAAGAGCACCATGCTGAGGCGGTCTTCTGCTGTCGTTTTTGAACCAGGCTTTCTCTTTCAGTTCTTTAGGTAGAAAAGCAAAGCAAAAGAAAACAAGACAAACAGGCAATAAAATATATGAGAGGAAAAAAGTAAAGGTCACCTGTGCTTTCTTTTCTAAAGGACGGGTAATCAGGAAGAAAGAGGACTAAAATACAGGTGTGACGCTAGCGGTACATCATCTTGGGATTGTAAATGATGCATGAAAGAGAGAAATAGGTTTTGATTTGCAAAAGATTATGTGTTCATGGACTTTGAGCCTGTGCGTAGGAATGAAATCTATGTAGAGAAGATTAACTCTTCTTATAAGGCAAATTTGTTTCTGTCATTGATAAAACCAGAGACAACAGCACAGTAATAGCAGTGGCACAAGAGAAGGAATGAGAGTGCAGCTGAGCTCTCATTGAAGAAAGCTGCTAGATAGAAATGTTGAATATATTAAGAAGGTTAATTTTTAAGAGAGGAAAATAAATATTTGTATTTTTTTCCGATGTATATATATTTTTTTTCTTTGTAACAGAGAGAAGGTACAATATAAGAGTTATCGTTATAGGCACTTTGCACTGTGGGATATTTTTAAACAGTAGGTAAAGCATTGCTGTAAAGAACTTGCACAGGGACTCTGTGGGAGTTGTTGCCTTCTGGTTGGGGAGGATGAGAACAGTAATAGTGACAGGGTGTTCTAGTACCACTTTATTTAATTAAATTATCCTGAAGAGAGAGACTTGCAAAAAAAATTTCCAATGATCGAGTCTGAGAAGCCAGAAGCTTACGTAGAAGATCATTACATTCAGTTTTTTAATCCTCAGACTTGCTGGAATTTTTCTTCTTTATGGAAAAAGCTGAACATTTTCATAAAGAAGTCAAATGGGTGCTTTGAAAATCTTTAGTGCATATCTTTGACTCTTTCATTTCCTATGTTCGTGAAATACAAGGCAGGGCATGGTCTTTTTTATGTTTTTGCTGGAATAGTTTCCCATTAATGTGGAAAAATATATGTAAAGAATAAGAACACTGTTTTTAAAAAACAAAGATGAAAGTTGTTTTGAGGGAACACATTTGATTTTATGGCTGACTGTCATAAAAGATAACAGCAACGAAAGTAAAAGGAACCCTGCAGAACTGATGCTTTTCAGGGCAAGGAAATTCCATTGTCACAGGGCAGGAAGCTCAATAGCATCAATAATTGTTAGAGCAATTTGTGCACATTTTCCAAATTACTGTACCTCTGAAAATGACTATGGCAAAAGATTTTATTTATGCCATAAAAAGTGTGCTTTTTATGGAGAAATATTTTCAGACACACACACCGATTCTGCAGTGGTGGGAGAGTTGCGGATGTATAGAAAATCAGTGTCCTGCACCCCTTCAATTTGTCCAGAGGGATTAAATGCTGTTAAATCAAACCCCACATCCCAGTGATGTACAACAGAGAAAAATCAGGACTACAGGGACCTTGTTTTTGTCTTTTCAATTTGGAGATGCATTGTAATAGTTTCTCCATGACTATTAAGGTGAAATGATCTATAAAACCCCTCTTGCCCTCTGCAATGCCAGTGGCATGTTCTTCTTCTCTCTCCTTCAAGCAAGGAGAAAACAACATTTGGGACTCTTCTAAGTGCTAATTAAATAGACATATTGGGCAATTCAGCCGGCATTATTGTTTGCCTACACTTTCTGTCTTCTTTTGCTGGGATGCACAGGGAGAGGACGGCTCAGGGAGTTTGCTGATGACCTCCTCCGTGTTCCCAAATAGCAGCAAGATGGAATAAGGACTCTTGAGCCTGGCCTGAGGCCCCAGCTAATGCAAAATGAACAGGCTTATCTGTGCAATCTCAGAGGAGAGGCATGCTGAGGGAGGCTCTGTTAAGGAGCAGTGAAGTCGCCGATCTTTTTTCCCATGTCCTGCCCTCAGAAGCAGGCTCTCAGAAGACCTAAAGTCCCCCAGGAGCATCCCCGGTGCCACCCAGCCTTCAGCAAGGCGGATAGGTGGCTCCGAAGACTTTCCCTTCGGCTGCCCCTTCGACTCTCTGCCTCCCCACAAATCAATGAAAACGATAAAGTTAGAATCTGGCTCAGAATAAGATTTTTGTCTGATTAAGAGGGTTTCTCAAACTGCACTGAGGTGGGTGAATAGGCTCTTCTTTTCAGACAGAAATTTTGGACTTCTTTGTTTCGGTTTCTTTACATAGCCGCCGCTGTGATTCCCACACTTACCTCCCACCATTACCTTTCCCCATTAATAAAGTATTTTTGGATGACTTGCAGATTTGACGAAAGGAGACCGAGCTTTTGTCGTAGGGTCAGCATTGATCTGGCAAATAGGAGGCTGTTACCTTAAGCAATGGGTTTGGCAGCCTGTGGAGGGAGTAGGTCCCCAGCTAGCTAAGTCTTTAATAGATCACCCTCTCAACAGAAAGATCAAAGATTGACATCTGCCCTTTTGCCTTTAAAACAGCTCTTACAAGATGCTGCAGCCAAGACAGCAGTGGGGAAACCTCCACAGTGACTGTATCTGCTCTTCTGGCACCATGTGCAGAGGCAGAAAAATCACTTGCAGCACACCGTGCTCTATCGCTTTATCTTCCTCTCTGTGTGTACAGCTCATGAAAGCTGTTTAT